CAGACTCTTGCCATCCCTTCTTCAGGGGCTAGCACAGGCCCCATCCAGATACCTCCAAATGGGCTGCAGGCTAAAACCCCCAGTGACTAAAGGGAGCGTGCTCACCAAACCCCAGAATTATGCCTGGGAATCGCGAGACGTGAGAAACAGCACGGAAGGCAGACCCAACAGACACCTGGAGCGCAGCTTCCCCTCTGCGTGGCCAGGCAGCCGTGGCTGTCCGCAGAGCCCAGTGATGCAGCCTCCATCGCCCGCTCAGATTTTCTTAAAGCTGTAAATCTCCATAGAAGGCAACTGGCAAGTTTTCAAAGTCAGAGACTGTAGGAGAGGGCACGTTACTAAAATTAGAGGCAGCACAGCGTAGTAATGAAAGCCCGCCCCTCCGGGCCCAGCTCCCACTCCCCGGCCTGATGGTCGTCCACATGCGTGTGTCGTGAGAGACGGCTACTGGGTTAAATATACATACTTAATGTACTTACAGATGTCTGCATACGTATTTCACGTTAAGATGATTATAAATGTGTGGGTTTGAAGCCCGTATCTAGATGAAAGCTATGTGGCAGCGCTGGCCTCTGGTCTCCCGAGAAGGTGCCGGTTCTCCCTGGTGGAGGCAGCACAAGGCACCGCCGGCCCGTCTGCCCACTAGGTGGCGATCACGGCAAGAGGACACTCGCAGCCTTAGAGAAGCGCTAGTTCCTTTTCCGTGTGGTTGGTGCTCTATGTCACTTTTTCCATGAGAGATACCAAAGGAATTTCTGTGTTTGAGCCTCTCCCTCCAACATGGAAATCCAACTGGCACCCACACGTGGCCAGTCCCCGCAGGTCCCTGAAGCCCCTGCCTCTGCGGGGTCTGCCCTCTGGGAAGGGCAGTTCATGGGGGGACCACGCAGGGTTGTTGCTCTTTATGATTCTATTTTTGTTTGCATTTCTGAGGAGCAGAGTGGTGGTTTTTTCTTTGTGTCCTTTGCACGCTCAGAAATGGAGGGTTTGTTTTGTGTTTTTTTGTTTTGTTTTTAAATACCGTTTTTTAAGTATAAATTAAAATGTTACAGAGAGTTGGGAATATAAGTAAGTCTGAAGAAGAAAATGAAAGGCATTCCTAATTTCGCAATCCAGAGGTCGTCACAGTTAGCATTTTGGTATATTTATTTTTCTGTCTCCTGGGTTTTCTTCATGCGTGTGTAACTTTTTTAAAAAGGAAAAGAAAAGGGAAGAAGCGTACTGTTTGTGTTTACGCAGATTTGTGTCCGTTAAATTTTTGTTGTCATGATGTGGTGTTTCCCTGTGTTGTGAAATACCCTCCAAAAGTATGCGTTGTCTGCATGGCTCCATCATGTGGATCCACCATCATTTGTTTTACTAATTTCTCCCTGTTGGACCTTGGGGTTGTTTACCCTATTTTGTTACTGTAAATAACCTTAAGTATCTTTGTACATAAATCTCTGTGCAAACTCTGGGTATTTCATTGGGGTAAGGTTTTGTAAGTGGAATTTCCGGGTCAGAATATTAATATTACCGAAAGACCTCCCGGAAAAGGTAGGCTAATTTCTGCTGTAATTAGAGGTCTGTGGAGGTGCCCCCTCCTGAGTCAGAGGTCGGAGGTCACTGCCTCCCATGAGAGGACCCTGCTGGCGTCTCAGGAAAGGAAGTGGTGAGAGGGGAACAGGTTTTCCTGAGCTTGCCCTTCCCCTGTTGTGCTGTGGATGCCTCGGGAACCTGCCTTGATACCTCTGTTCTCTGAGGCCAGCGGCCCGTGTACCCACCATCACCATGAGGGCTGTAAGCAGTCTGAGGCTGACGTGTGACACTCACGGGGGTTTAACCGTGTGCTCTGTCCCCCAGGGCTCTGAATGGAATGCATCCAATCTGGAGGAGCTGCAGGGCTCAGGGTGAGTCTGCTCCCCTTGTCTTCCCCTCTCCCTCTCCCTCTCCCTCTAGGCAGCCTAGGAACCCGGGCTCTGCCCCCGAGGTCAGGGCCAGCCCCGTGCTGCCTGCCTGTGCCTGTAATTGCCTGCACCCCAGCAGCCAGGCTGGTCTGCATAGCTACACAGATGGGCTTCAGAATGCCACCTCCTGAATAATTCATGGGTTTAGATTTTCCTGGGGTTTGTGTGATGGTGTGTGTGTCCCCCAGAGAATGATCCTAAATCACAGTCCAGTGGGATAGACGGCCTGGATGCTGTGCTGGTAGGGCCACGAGCCCCCGCCCACCGGCCCACTGCCCTGCAGAGCTGCCGAGAGGCCCGGTGTGGACATGCCTAGCTGCTGGCCAGTCAGCACCTCTGACCCCTGAACTACCACTGCTGGTTCTATCTGAGCTTCTATCTTTGGGCCTGGAGGGAACCTTGAGCTAAATACTCAGCATTGGGCAGAAACACATGCCTACCTTGATCTGAGAAATGCCCAGCAGCAGGAATAAAAAAAATGTTTAAATCTAGACCTTCAAGAACAGATGTCTGGACATTTAAAAAAAAACACACAACACAGCCACAAAATCACCGTCCTGTGGGTCTGACATGATGACATCCTTGAATTACTGCACTTAAAAATCAAGACTAAACAAATCTTAAAATATATCTTTAGAACTGCCGGTTAAGATGTGTTCTCTCAACAGAAAGTATTCTTAAAATGTAGGGTGATGCTGTCTATGCTTTCTGTTTTCCTTGGAAGAAGTAAATTATTTTAAAGAGTAAATTATTTTAAAGGTATTTTTTTAAAGCATTTGTTAAGTATTCACTTATAAAATCTACTTGAGGTATTTTCAACCTCCTGAAATTGCTTTTGCCTTCCAGGAATATAAGTGTTCAGTTTAGAGACCGACAAAACCTGGTTAGCAGACCCTCTCAGCTATTTATTTATGGCCTGCCTTGTTTTAAAAAGGATGTAAAGTAGTTCCCAAGGACATAAGTAATGGACAAATGTATTCTGCTTTTTAACTATTTAAAAGTGGAGACTTTGTTTTTTCTTAAAGCCTCTGTATGCTCAGAATAGTTATGAATTTTGAGACTTTGAGTTTACTAGGTGTCCCGGTTAATAATGTAGATTTTTTTCAATAGATGGAGTTACACATATGTTGATGTATATGCGATTTGATATGTATGCTATTTTGTTGTATTGACAACAAGCTTCAGAACTTCATATGTCAAATTTTCTGAAGGTGTTAACATCATAGATATTTTTACACTTAAAAATGTCGAATTTCGTGCCCAAAAAAAGAGCATTTGCGGGAAGTTATAATTCATTACTTTATTTTGAAGAAAAGTGCTGCTGAAAGTTATCGTATACTTCAGGAAGCTTATGGTGAACGTGCTCTATCTCAAGATACTTGTGAACGCTGATTTAAACGCTTTAAAAGTGATGATTTCGATGTGAAAGACCAAGAATGTACAGGTCACCCGAAAAAGTTTGAAGCCCAACAATTCCAAGCATTATTGGGTGAAGATGCGTGTCAAACTCAAAAACAACTTGCAGAAAGATTAAATGCTGCTCAGCAAACAATTTCCGATTGTTTACAAGCAATGGGGAAGATTTTAAAGGAAGGAAAATGGGTGCCACATCAACTGAACGAAAGACAAATGGAAAACCGAAAAGTCATCAGTAAAATGTTGCTTCAACGGCACGAAAGAAAGTCTTTTTTGCATTGAATTGTGACTGGTGATGAAAAGCGGATTTATTTTGAAAATCCCAAACCCACAAAATTATGGGTTGATCTAGTCAACCATCAACATTGACTGCAAGGCCAAATCGCTTTGGAAAGAAGACACTGCTCTGCGTTTGGTGGGATCGGGAAGGTGTGGTGTATTATGAGCTTCTAAAACCAGGTGAAACCATTAATACTGATCGCTACCGACAACAAATAATCAATTTGAACCACACTTTGATCGTAAAACGGCCAGAATGGGCCAGAAGACACAGCAAAGTAATTTTGCTTCATGATGCACCATCACACACTTCAAAACCAGTTAAAGACACGTTAAAAGATCTTGCCTGGGAAGTATCAACCCACCCGCTGGATTCACCAGACAGGTTTAAAATTTGGATACTGGTTAAAAATTCGGATTTTGTAATCAAAGAAAACAGGATAATTTCAAGAGAAACATCAAAAGTGCTTTATTCACAGTAATGTCCATCCCTAGCTACACATTTCCCCCATCTTTCAGGTAATTTGTGGATACCGTCCCAATAGAACTTTTCTTGTTTTGAGGCAGACCATTCAGAGACCCAGTTTTCCACTTCTTCATACGTTTTGAAGTGCTGCTCAGAAAGTGCGTGTGCCATCGATCAGAACAAGTAGTCATCTGAAGGAGCAATACAACAAAATAGCATACATATCAAATCGCATCTATATCAACATATGTGTAACTCCATCTAGTGAAAAAAATCCGCATTATTAACCGGTACACCTAGTAAAAATGCATTTAAGTAATATATATTTACCTTCCAGAGTTAACATTGCTTAGCAATGCTTTGAACTGTTTTCTTTTTGTAAATTTTTTATAAAGAAGTTTGTTTTTTATTATAAATAGAATACATTCTCATCATAGAGAGGGCATGTAGAAAATACAAAAAAAAATTACTATTAAGCAAAAAACAGAAGTCCTACCATAAATATATATGCCCTTTAATAATACATATTTGATTTTTTTCTCTGTTCAATTTTTGGTTATTTTGTTTTTCGTAGCTCCTCATTCTGGTTCTCCAAATGTGTTCTTTTTTTCTTTTTTTGTCATTGCAGTGTTGACTACATCTTAAATGTCACTAGAGAAATCGATAATTTCTTCCCTGGCTTATTTGCATATCACAACATCCGAGTCTATGATGAAGAGACAACAGACCTTCTTGCCCACTGGAACGAGGCGTACCACTTTATAAACAAAGCAAAGTAAGTGGGCGGAGAAGCCAAAGAAACCGGTCTGAGGGAGAAACTGGCGGGTGCTGGGTGGGCAGAAATTAATGACAGCCCAGGGCACGGACATCTCCTGGCTTTAGGGAGCCTGGGTGTCTGGTGGCCCCCTGACTTCAAACCACAGGACCCCTCAGAGTTGTTGATCTCCAGGTGGGGGCCCGAATGAGCCGGTTCTCTCCCACCTCGCATTGGCTGTGACATTTGGCCCGTTTCATCATCAGCAGTGCAGAATGGGACAGACCGTGAGCCCGTCATGGTTTCACGCAACTCTGGTCCTCACCGTATTCTCCTGCGGAACAGCTCTGCCTTATGCAGTCAGAACAGAGAGGACCCCTTGGAACCTCATCTTCTGCTCTGCACCCCTCCAGGTCAAAGCTGCATAACCTGCTTTTCCCTACGTGTCTTCATAGTTTGCATTCCTGGGGTAGACAGCAGACCAGCAGTCAAAAAAAAAAAAAAAGGCACTGAGATTCGGTGATGAATTTTAAGCCTGAGGTAGGAGAAATGAGCCTGCTCGACTGACAGGCTGGCTCCTCCTAATGTAAACAGGCAGACAGGTGGGCTCGCCTCCCGGGCACACAGAGCTGCCAGGTGCTGCCCTCTCCAGCCCTGCGCTCCCTCACATTCTCCAGCAATCGATCCGGAGGAGCGCCGTGTCTGGCCTTGTCCTATCTGTTCAATCAGCCGTGCCCGGGCCAGCACTGCCTCCTCACAACCTATCCCAGCGACGTGGGAAGATACCCACCTTGTCCCTGAAGTCCGCCCGAGCCCCATCCTCCCCTGGCTTTTCTCTGTCTCGGCCAAGTCCGTGGTGCTGCTAGCCTCGCCCTGGCTCCTTGACCTCCTGTCTCCCGAGGGCCTTGCGGCTTCCGGTTCTCTGACCCCATTCTTCTGTAGTAACCCTTCCCCGTCTCCATCTGCTCTAGCTGCTGTGTATCTAGAACTCTGTCTTGCAGATCTCTCTTTCGCTGCCCACTTGCTTCCCACAAAAGGGTTTTTGGTCTCCGAGCCTATCCCAGCAACGTGGGAAGATACCCACCTTGTCCCTGAAGTCCGCCCAGATGTTGAGCTCTCCCTGCAAAACTTGCTGGGCAAGGAGAGGTTTATCTTGATTCCCCATTGTGTGCTAATTGATTTCGCAGGGAAGCGATTTCCTTTAGAGGGTGTGTGGACATGTGCTGCGTAAACATCGGGACTGGGAGCATTTTGGCAATGACATAACGTCAGGGTTTAAAACTGTCCGTTGTGGAAAAAAAACAGAGAGCACGAAGTTCAGCTTCTTTAAAACTCTCTCCCCCGCCAGGAGGAACCACTCCAAATGCCTGGTACATTGCAAAATGGGTGTCAGCCGCTCCGCTTCCACGGTCATCGCTTATGCGATGAAGGAATTCGGCTGGCCCCTGGAGAAAGCCTACAACTACGTGAAGCAGAAGCGCAGCATCACGCGCCCCAACGCCGGCTTCATGAGGCAGCTGTCTGAGTATGAAGGCATCTTGGACGCGAGGTGGGTGACTGTCTGCGAGGATTGGCAGGACTGAGCTCGCGGAGCCGCCGTCAGCCCGCAGCAGCAGTGGCTTCCGCAGCCAAAACCCTGACGCAGGGGAGGTGGGGGAGCCGGTTTGAGAAAAACAACTATTGTTTGGCGTTTGATGAGTGGTTTCCAGGAGGGATCTGTTCTGATGTTGTTGGCACGCACGGCTGTTTTGCTGCGGGAGGGAACGGTGCCTGACTCCTACTCTAAGGCACGGCTTTGTGCGCGGCATGGGCATGTGGGTGCCCCGTTTCCTGAGCATCTGCTTTGGGCCGAGCGCTGTGCCAGGCTTTGCCGCAGGGCAGTGCCCAGGACTGCGGGGCAGGCGGGGTTCCCCCCACTGATGAGCAGGGCAGCTCAGGGCAGGCTCGTCAGCCCCCCCAGCCTCAGCTCTTCTCCTTCTGAGTAAAGAACCAGCACCCACCTGGTCGGGTGGTTGTGAGATGCACATGAGTACAGTCACCTTGCGGAGGCTCTGCTAGACCTGGCTGCAGTAGACGGGATGTCGTTTTTCTGCATTTTGTTAACGTAAAAAAATCATTGAAACCTGTAAAGAATTTTTGTGAGTTTATTTGAGCCAAACTGTCGACATATGCCGGGAAGCAGAACCTCAACGGATTGAGATAATGCTCCGGAGAATGGTGGGGTTACATCTGCATTTATACATTGCAGTCAAAGGAGGAACATAGGTGGGTTACATGAAATTCATTGGTGATAGATTGAGGAGGGATAAGCAAAGCAGGGAAACCCCTGGGATTGGATAAAAAGTAAAATGATGGACACATACTTAGGTGGGTGCAGGAACAATTAACATGATGTTGAAGGAATTTGTGGTATCTGTCCTGGGGCCCAGCACATTTGGTTGTGCCCCAGGGGCTCCAGATAAAGGGAAATCACAAGTTACCCAGACATTTCAAGGGTATGTTATCATAGATGCAAAAAGACAGATAGGCTCAGTTAAGGTAAAGGTTGACCTTGTCAGTGAAGATACTGGCCTAGGACGTAACTGCCCACCATAACTGCTTTTAGTTAAAGTTTAATTTCAGACCATCCTTTGTGGTTACTTTAGGTCTCCGAGTTTGCAGACTGCCATGCAGGCCTCCCCTGAGCTTGTCAGGTCAGCATGTGGCCCCTTTCGTCCACAATTTCTAACCCCACCTGGGAAGGTCTGCGGGGTACAGGTTACCCCCACTTACGGGAGGACAAGGTACTGACGCTGGGGGTTAGCTTGCCCGCACCTCACAGCCAGGGACAGCAGAAGGGAGCACCTGCCCAGGTGTGTTGGCCTCCAAGGCAGGGAGGCCCCGAGGTTCTCCCGCCCGTACCGGGAGGGGTCCTCCAGCCACCCCGGGGGATCCCTGCTGTACCCCAGAACTCACTGTCTCTGTCCCCCTCCTCCCTTTCTGTTCCGTCCGTAGGAGGCCTCCCTGGTTATTTCTGACTGGTGCTGTTAGGGAGCCGCAGGCTAAGTCTCGGCCTCTGCCCGCTTTGGGGAAGCAGGTTTGGACAGGGTCCAGAGGACAGCTCCGGACATCTCCACTGTCTAGCAGGGGCTGGCTGGACAGATCCCCAGGCAGGGCGGAGGCCAAGGCGGAGAAGTGTGCACCACCGAGCCCTTCGGCCACTCACTCCACCAGTGCCCTTTCAACCCATCCAGGGGTTTCCAGGCTGGGTTCACAGCTGCGTAGCCCCATCTGAGGGCCCCTGGCCTCGCCCAGAACATGCCCAGGGAGCAAACAGTCATGAGTGATCCTGACACTCTCTTGCATTGACCGACAATAGCAGATCCTTCATTTACATTCAATTCTCTCATCTCAACCCTTACAACCCCATGATGTCTGTATTGCTCTAAGGTTCGTGGAGGTGACTTCTTTACCTTACTTCACTATAAGCCTTTCTCTTTTTACCTTTATGTTTTGAAAATGCATCATAAAAATAACACCATAGTATTAGAAGACAGAGACAGTGGGCGGGATGTCCCGGATTCTTTTTCCGCCGGAGTCGAAGAATGAATCCACAGACAGAAGATGTTATAGCAAAGGTGGAGATATACTGAGGAACAAGTACAGACTCCCACTTGGGGAGGGGAAAGGGGTCCCACTGAGTTCCTTTTCCCTGCGGCTTATAAAGGCTGCAGGTCCTTGTGCCTGGATATCCCCTCTGATTGGTCACTATTCCCTTAGACTGGTTACTATAGTAACTCCTGAGCTCAAGGTCGAACCTCACATGGGACATGTGAGGTTCTCCCCCCCCTTCCTTCCTTATTGTTTTCCTCTTCCCTTTGGGCTTTCTTCTACTCCTTCTGGATGAAGGGCTTCCTTCCTTTATTTTGTAAATATAGACGTTTTGCTGTTCCCAGCTCCCTCATTCTATGGAAATGTACCGGTGCAGCTTTTCAGCTTCCCTATTCTATGGAAATACACCTGCTGCTGCTCTGTAGCCCTGTGCTGCTTCCATGGTCCCCTTCATTTCTAAAATTTCCTAAAACCTGTCTTTTTCACCCCCCAAAAAATCCTGTTTCACTATAAACAATATTTATAGTTTTCTGGAATCTTCCCAACTTTATTCACGTGCATTACGTACTCACATTGCTATATTAGTATCACTATATACCGGTATGTATGTAAATATTTATATTGACAGGTGGAGAAACTGAGAGGTGGGGCATGAAGTGGCATGACCCGATGAGATGGGACACTGGCTCCTGATAGCATTTCCGGTCTAGGTGCCCTTCACACGTCTGCCATGTTGTCGTCACGTGACAGTCCTTTAAGGTTTCTCGCGAGGGCCACGATGATTTTTGGGTCCTAGTGCTGCTTCTCTCGTCCTTTCATTTCTTGGGGACAGATGAACAGAGAGAGGCTTTACGCCAGCCTCGCTGGCTCCCCCTATCCCTACCCCTCTTCCCAGGAGCGCTGGGCCCTGGCCTCTGATGACCTTCCTCTGCCCTTCCTCCCCCAGCAAACAAAGGCACAACAAGCTCTGGCGCCAGCAGACGGAGAGCCGCCTCCAGCAGCCCGTGGGTGACCTCGCGGGGTCCGGGGACTTCTTGCCAGAGACCCTGGACGACACCCGGGAAGCCCGGCTGTCCTGCTTGGACGATGCTGCCCAGCCTGGGTTCCCAGGAGGAGGAGGCCCCTCTCTCTCCTGCTGTTTCCGGCGGCTCTCAGACCCCCTCCTGCGTTCCCCCAGCGACGAAACCGGCGGCGTGGTCCAGCTGGAGGATCTGGAGAAGGATGCTCTGTTGGAGGGAGCAGCTCAGCCTCTAGCAGTGCCCACGCCAGCCAGACCTCCCCAGGAAGGCCCCGGGCCCCGTGAGAAGGAGGTGAAGAAGAAACCGGAGTTCGGGAGCCCGAAAGCCCACAGTGGCCCCTTGCCAGCGGTGGAGGAGATGGAGAGGGAGGAGGCTCCCGGAGCAGGGCGGTGGGGGAGGTCCCCAGCCCAGCTGGATAAGAGCCTGCTCAACCGGGAAAACCTAAATAATAACAATAGCAAGAGGAGCTGTCCGGACGACTTTGAGGTAGGTGTGGGGCCAGCATGTGGGGCA